TCGAGAGCCACAGGAGGCTAGTGGCTTTATTGCAGGCGGGGTCTGTGGAACATTCTCATTAGACGGGGCTAGTCCATAACCCTCCCTTCATCCTTTCCATAACCCTCCCTTCATCCTTTCGGTCTCGAGTGCTTTGGGGCCCTGATTGTTCACAATATGAATGAGAGCCCAGAGGCTTCAGAAGCTCATATTTGTGGAAGCCAAGGCCCAGTCGGGTCAATGAGCCTTTTCACGCGTCCTCTCCTCAGGCTGGGAGTGAGTCGAAAAGGCAGGCCAAGGCTTTGTTTTCTTCTGAGGCCACACCTAGCTCTGTGCTCAGGGATCATTGTGCTGGTGCTTAACCTATCTGCCTGAAGGTACCCAGGGCTGAGATTCGAGAGAGCCGCTAGGGTCGCATCCTCTCCCCTTGGAGATACTAAGGGACAGTGAGCATTGGCTTGTTGCTTGTTAATTCCTGCTTGTTTGTTAAGCCCATATCCCACCCCACTCCCCCACCACTTCCCCACATGGCCAAAACTCTTCATCCGGGCTATGCCTTTAATTCTGGCCTTCCTGATTTCAACTGAGAAGATGCCAGTTCTTTCTCCTCCATCATCCTTGCTGAGTCATTTTCAGCAGCAAATTTCAGGCAACTAAGGGATGTCATCAATCCTTCTGGTACTCAGTCCCATAACTGACTGTGGAAATCCTGTGATGGGCTCTGCATGTTCCTTCCAGCTACCACTCGCTTCCTAAATAGGTGAGGCCCTGGACCATCCAGCATCGTCCTTTTGGCCTTGAGAGCTAGGCTCCCTTTTATGCCATCCATGCCTTCAGTGGCAGTTCAACCTGGACTTTTAACTGGGATTTTACTGATCAACATAAAGAGAATTAGAATCAACTTGCAGAAAAATGACATCTTTACATCAATGAGTATTCCAATCATTAAAATTCACTTATCTCTTCATTTGTAGTTTTCTGTGACCTTTCCCTACAAAATTTCATCATTTTCTCTGTATAAATCTTTGATGATTATATAAATTGTATTCCTAAACAGAGCTGATTATCAGGGATTATCATGAAGATTATCTTTTTCTTTTCTTTTCTTTTTGTCTATGGTGGTACACTTTGGCTTATGACATGGAACAAATTCAGCTATTTAGTTACCTTCAGGTCATCCAAACTAAAACTTCCATGCTTACCAACTAGGACAACTAGGGGTTACATGATCATTTAGGACCCAAATACCATCTACTTCTAGCTAATCCTCCTACTTTGAGGGGGAAAGAGTTTCTGTTTGCTTGCCATAAGGTAAAGGTTCAAATCAATTCACAAGTCAAATCAAATTTATCATTGATTTTCTCTTCTCAGATACCACCACAGATCCCCGAAGGGTTGGGCAGAGGACTATATTGTGTGAGACTTTAATTCACCCCTAGTTTGAATGTGTATGTTTTGGACAGAACATGAACTCAAGGGTCTAGGCAGCTGAATTTAAGACAGGCATTCATTGCAATAAATGGATTTTCCATGGAGTGGTGAGAAGAGTTAGAAATGAAGAACCTGGGTAAATCAGTCACCCTGAAAACAATGAAAGAAGGAAACAAGAGTGCAAGCTGACTAAACCCACAACCAACTACCCATCACGGAGACTGAAAGGACAGACAGGAAAATTCAAGCAGTGGCTACTTCAGACAACTCGTCCTGGCCCTGGCCAAACTCAGCTTGTCCATATCTTGCCACCTACCTGCCCCAGTTAATGCTTACAAGTGCAAACACACTCACATCACATCATAGTATCAGCCCTGCAGGGGAACCCAAAGGTGAGTTCTAGAATCCACTTAGTGCTCAGCTGTGAAAGCTGTTCTGTATTCCATGTCCATTTCAGAAACCAGTGGTTTCCTTCCAATAACGTCTGGCTTGGTTTTCTGCCTGTAACTTTAGGGGACGCTTCTTAAGTTTATTCCTAAAGACAGCTCAATGAGACCCTTGCATTCCAACTTATTGCTTCCAACTGGTCAGTTTTCTATGGTCAGCCAGACCTGGGGACTTGACTGCTCCATTGCCTGAAGATTCCCCTTCCATGGTATTCTCAGAACCGACACAAGTTTCTTTCTCTTTACATCTCTGACTACCCTGCTGCCATGGGAGAGTTGCTAGGATGGTTCTCTACCTTGCTTAGAAGTCTCTTGTTTTTAACAAGTCCTCTCACTGAGAAAACTAATGTGTGAGGGGACACTGTATAGCTTACAGCAGTATATCTCAACTGGGGTCATTGGCGCCTATAAGCGCCCCCCCCCCCCCAAGATATCTCATGAGAGCCACCGTTTCAAACTGCATAAATAAGGCAGGGCATAGAATGAATCTAGGGGCCAACTGGTCAGATGGGAACTGGGGACACAGAGGAAGAGAACAAAGTCGAAGGGGCCCACAGTCAGAAAGTAGTTGAGAACACTGGTTTAGACTACCATAACTGCTTAGTTGCTCAAGAAATGGTCTGCTCCTTTAACTACAGGATTTAGGCCTTGTATTCTTCAGGAAGAGGCTCCTGCAGGTATTGGTTTACTTTGTTTCTTGGGGTGGATTTGTCTGGGACAATCTTTTGCCCAGGAGGCATGATTCAGCAAGTCCACTGTGGACTGCATCAGACCTCATAAGAAATACAACTGAGTCAATTGTGGAATGACTCAAGGCTCTGAAATATTTAAAATCCATGCATCATGAAAGCAGGTGAGAATGAAGCCAGTCATCCTAGTAGCGGCTATTGTCTGAGACTGAAGATAAGTTTGACCTGACTCTGCATTTGCAGCTTCACTGGTGAAGTTGTAGTGGACTTTGAGCTTCAAGGCAGAATTAGAACACGCATGGACCTGTGAGTTTTGTGGGTCCTCTGAGGTGGCCAGGGACATCCAGTGGTTCTTTCTAAGCCTCTTACTGGGACTGGACTTGGAAAAGTTAGTAAAAGGAGTATTTCCTAGATATTGAATTATCACTAGATGACTTTCATTAGATGTGTTCTCTGAAAATTAGCCAAGATCCGTAAGTGTTCTCTGAGTGACAGGAAGAATCAACACTGTGAGAATAACATATTTTCTTTGATGTCCCTCAACAGCTGAGTCCTTCTTTCCAAAAAGTACCCAGTAGAATACTTGACAAGGAAAGACACTTGCTAATAGCTTGGGGTAATGAAAAACATTTAGACTATAAAATCAGAGGTACTAGATTCTAACCCCAGTTCTGTCCCTTGGTAAATACATAATTAATACCACACTCCATTGTTCTGAGCTTTACTCCACTTCCCTAAAGTGGGAATGCTAATAGCTTTATTAAGGGGGTGTTTTGAGAATTACATACAATAAGGTATGTGTAGCACATGTTAGGGTATCAAGAAATGTTAGTTGAATATTAATTGAAAGATGGTGCATAGCTTGTCAATGAACATGGCTCTAACATCCAAGAAGCATCTCTCTGTCCCATTTGATCTTTGAAGTAGTAAAATTGTAAGTATGAATGGAAATCAAAGGGATATTCAAAGGGCCAACGAGATAATCAAAGGGCTGGAGCACATGTTTGGTATGTGGAAGCCCTGAGTTTGATCGCTGGTACCTCCTGCTCCCAAGCACTGCTGAGTCTACGAAGCACCACACTTCAGGCCTAAGCACTGAACCATTAGGCCTATTCAGCCAGTGGAGTATCACTGGCTCCCAGAACACTGTGTAGGAGCATCCCTCTCTGAGAAAATAATGGATTTGATTGCCAGAATCTCTCCCCTTTGCCTCCTGTTGGCTATGTTGTATCTGGAAAAAAAAAACTAATAAAGGAAGGGGAGAAAGTTTAGAAAGTTGAGAAATTTTGTAAAATCTATACTTGTACAAGGATTTTAGATGCAATTCTCAGTGCTCTCTGAGGGATTTTGGTAGAGAGGTGGGACCAGGAGTTGTTGGCTACCCTCCATCCATAGGAACTGCCCAGCCTATGAATTCCAGGCCAGTAGGTCAGAGCTCGGACCTGTCTTCCAGGGCAGAAATGGATAGTTCATCTCAGTTCTGATCACCTCATCATCCAGGACAATGGGTGGGCTAGGGAGGGCACAGACAATCCAAGATGACAGGTAATCCAGTCTTTGTTACCTTGTCTCACTCAGCCAATGCCTCTACTCTCTCCCTGTTTTGTTTTGTTTTTCTTTACCTAGATGATTCTTACTAAAAGGTCAAGCTTGGGCATTTAGCAGCAATTTCTCTGAACTGAAAACTATATGGAAGCACTGAACAGGCCCTGAGGTGGGGACCATATGGTCCCTGTGGATCGAGCATGGAGCTCGGAGCTGAGCTTTTTGAGGCTGGTCTGTGTGATTGATAAAATGGGAGGAAGAGAGGACAGAGACCTGAATAGACCTGGGGGCCTGGATCTGAACAGATATGCTTTGCCATTCTGTGGTATACTTTCTTTGAGATTATGAACTTGGTGACAGTCACAGAGAGTTAGTGAAAAATGGGAGAAGAAGGACCATCACTTGCCTCCCTTAGAAAAAAAGGCTCAGCTTATACAGGAATCTATTTCCCATATATCCCCTTCATTGTCTAGATCAGAAGTTCCCAAATTTATTTGGCCTATCATCCCCATGACAGGAAAAATTTCATTCAGGGATTTTATGAAAATTTACCTTCATTAAGAGAACAAGCAGAAAGCACTCCCAATATCCCCAGATGCAACTATCAACCCCATCGTCCACATTAATCCCACAGCTCCAGCCCCAGGGGGTGGCATCATCCACTTTGGGAAACACTGGTATAGATTGCATGAGCTGGGATGGAGACTCTGTTCCACAGAGTTGACCTGGTTCAATCAACTCTTGACAGTTTTAGGAGCTAGAGCATTTATCATGGGAGAAAGGATGGTCCTTCATTGATTAGTTCTGTCCCTCATTCTCCTTCTTTTGATCCTGGCACTCCCCTCACCCTTACACCCTTCTGGAACCTGTGGTCCAGCTACGGACCAGATGCTTTCTCTCAGAGGCCTACCTTGGGTTTGAAGGCAATGAGCTTCAGAATCATCTCCACGGTGAAGAGGCCAGTGAAGAGCATGTTGAGGATATTCATGGCGATTTTGAACAGACAGCTCTGACCGTAGTGCTGAGGGGAAAGGAGGACCCATGAAAACAGGCTGGATGTCACTGCTCTTTAACACCTGCCTTTCCACAGAGACCTTCCTTCAATCATGCTTTGGAGGGATATACACATCTCTGAAGCAATCTGGTGAACTCAAGAAACCCTACACAATTCTTGTTTCCTTCTCTGCCATCTCTGAAGCAGTGGTGGGTAGAGTTCTGTGTCCTGAGCTCAGGCTCTGACTGTCAACTCCATGGTAACTCCTGGCACTCAAGTGAGTGCACCCACAAGTGGGAAGGAGGCTGTAGCCTCAACCTCTCGCCACAGCCCAAGAATTTATGACAAATGGGGTTTACTCCATGGCTTGGAGGCCAGCTGCACACTCTAGGGGTAAAGGCAGCTCAGATAGAGAAGGAGAGAAGGGAGCACCAAATAAAGAGTGTTGGGAGGATCCTCCCAAGATGGGAGATGCGTGCTGAGAGTAGACTATAGACCGAACATGATTGCCACTCAATGCCTCTTTTGCAAACCACAGCACCCAAAAAGAGAGAGAGAACAAAAGGGAGTGCCCCGCCACAGAGGCAGGGTGGGATGGGGGGGATGGGGGGTGGGAAGGATACTGGGATTTGTGGTGGTGGAGAATGGGCACTGGTGGAGGGATGGGCACTTGATCATTGTATAACTGAAACCCAAGCACAAAAATTTGTAAGTCTACAACTGTACCTCATGGTGTTTCACTAATAAAAATTAAAAAAAAATATGACAATAGCAAATGCATCAAGATATCCCTTTATTCTCTCCGTCCTCTCTCTCTACCTACCTCATCCAAGCAGGGCCCTGTGGTTCATTCTTTTTTTTTCTTTTTGGGTTACACTCAGCAATGCACAGGGGTTCCTCCTGGTTCTGCACTCAGGAATTACTCCTGGCGGTGATCAGGGGACCCTCTGGGATGCTGGGAATTGAACCTGGGTCGGTCGCATGCAAGGCAAATGCCCTCCCTGCTGTACTATTGCTCCAGTCCCTATGGTTCATTCTTAAGGTCTTAGGGAGAGACGATCCTTAGAAGAGACTTTGTCTTTCTCAAAGAGGGAAGAGTTGGAGGCTCTTATTCCCTCTGCCTCCCTTGGTAAACATGAATGTAGAAAACCAGAGACAATTGTGCAACTCTCTTATGCTTCACCTCTTCCCATCACATCCCTCCACGCCACAAACACACACACACACACACACACACACACACACACACACAATCTCTTCCCCATGCAGGCTTTATGGAACCAGGGTCCCCCTGGACTGACCTGCATGGCCAAGCAGATGGTGTTGAGCAGGATGAGGACAAACATCAGGTACTCAAAGTAGGTGGAGTTGACAACATACCACACTTTGTACTGGTGTTGATTCTTGGGGATGTACCTCCGCAGGGGCCGAGCCTTAAGGGCATATTCCACACACTGCCGCTGGAAGGGGTTGGTGGGGAACAGGAACGGGACACAATGGGGTTAGTTACCTGAATGATGTTGGGGGTATGGAAGAGGAAGTTGTGACATAGATGAAACTACATCACCTGAAGTAGGTTCATGGGAGGCAAGAACCTATGTCTCTAGCTATTTATGGGTTTGAGCTGAAATTTGGACATAATTTCTTTCTATCATTCCTGTAATCAAGGAGAGAATCTCCACTTGATCTAGATTGTAGTCAAGGGATCTGTATCTCACCACCACTACCAGATTTATTTTGTTTCTAAAGCTGGTCTACAGCCTGGTGTATGATAAATCCTGATTTCCTTTGCCTTAGACTCATCATGGGAGAACTCCCCTTCTCGATTGTTCTCTCCTGTCCTTATTTACTAGTGTTCACAATTAGAAGATGACTTTCAGAGAGGGGGTAAAATCTTGGACTAGTATCTTGGGACCCTGCCATTAGATCTGATTTATTTCCTGGTAACTATATGCAGATTTCCAAGTCAGGAGTCAGGGATCTTCCAAACTGTCTCTCACCCCCAGCCTCCACACCCAATCTCTTAGCTTCAGAGATATTATTTATTATTGATTCCTATTTTATCTTTACCACCATTAAGCTTCAGAGAGACTGGGTCCTACACCTCTCTCAACTACACTTTCTGATTCCTCTTCTTTCCACTCTTACTTCTAACCCAAAGTCCCTCCCGATGCAAGATTGGTGGATCTGGCTATAAACCCAAGAGATCAATGCCCAAACCCTTGAGGGGTCAGCTGGTATAGCTGAGGGTATAAATGAGCAAACTATACTAGCTTGTTCCCACCCATGGACTTGGTCGCTACATTTCACTGTCAAAGGATGGTGATTTGTCTCTTGGATTCTTCCCATCAGGAACCAGTTGAAGTATCCTCGGTGACAACAACCCACATCCCACCCCAAAAACTGCATTCCTCACTGGTGGAGTGGTGGCTCTTTTGCATAGGCCAACACAACATATCACAGCACAGCCATGTCACTCTACCTCAAACTTCTTGTCTGCCTCCTATCCCCTTTCCTGCATAGACATCTGCATTTGATTTACAAAGCCTTTCTTGTAGTGGATTTCCAAAGTCTTCTCTGCACACCCACCAAAGTTCTGCTTTTTCACGGTTATGGTTGTGTCCCTTTTTTTTTATCAATGGTGCTGATACAACTGGGCACTTTCTAACACACTGGGAACAAGGTATATTTCTTCTGCCAAATCTATCACATAGTCTCATAGGACTCTACTTAAAGTAGATTTGTGGGCTGAATGCAATAGACAGATGTGGAATTTGTGGAGATTCTATCACCCAGGAGGCTCCAAAAGCCATTTGAGTAGTCAAGTTTCATGGAGGAGCAGATATTTGCTCTCAGACAGTGCTCTTCAGTCCTGTGGTGGATATGGAAAGGTTGAAAATCCTGATCTACCACCTTGGTTACAACTGCTGGTCCATGGACCAGTATGCAGAACAGGTGCTGGATTGCAGGTGTGAAAAGATTGAGGAATGCTACTATAAGCCCTACCTTCTTATGCTGTGGATCATAGCCTCAAACGGGGTCATGTAAATAAATATGAGGGTCACAGAAATCTTAAACTTGATTTAAAGTAAATCCTTTATGATTTATTATCAGTAAATGTTATATGTATACATATATATAATATTGCTCCAACCCGTATATAAATATTATATATACCTATGGACCCCTACGGTCACCTAGAAAATTTTTAGGTGCAAAGGGGTCACACGTGGAAAACTTTTAAGAAGGTGTGATCTAAGGGAGTAATTTTTTGCCTTTAATTCCGGTGTATAGGTGCTCATTAAGGGGAAATAGCTTTTTCTTGGACCAGCAGAAAATGTCTGTGGGCCAGCACTGGTTTGAGGACTAGTAGTTGAAACCTCCTGAACTCAGAGTCACTGCAATCTCTCATCTGGTGGGCCAGAGGTGGCCAAACAGTGTCATTCCTCCTGTGGTCTGATCCATACTCATCATCTTGGTCCCTTCCTTCCTAGGAGTTACCTGGTTCTTGTCCAGCTCACAGTTCTTGTATTCCTGTTCCCCTTGTTCCTGGAAGGTGACAATGACGAAACCCACGAAGATGTTCATCATGAAGAAGGCAATGATGATAATGTAGATGATGAAAAAGATGGAGATCTCCACGCGGTAGTTATAGATGGGACCTTTGTCTTCGGTGTGGGAGTCAATGGAGCGGTACAACAGCCTACAGAAGGAGACAGACCCCCACAGAGAGAACAGAAGAATCAGTGTCACCTCTGGAATCACAGACCTGCTTCTCCTGGGGCCTCAGCAATCAGGAGTTCTGGGAACAATTCTTGGCTGGGAGTCAGGAAATCTGACTTCAATTTCCAGCTCTGCAGTACAACTGAGCAAAATGCTTAAGATCTCTGAGCCTCAGATTTTTCATCTGTAACATGGATGAAATAAGTCTTGACTTTTCTCCCTGATGGGGTAGTTGATATTATGTATAAAAAGGTAGCACTGTAGCACTGTCCTCCCATTTTTCATCAATTTGCTCGAGTGGGCAGCAGTAACGTCTCCATTGTGAGACTTGTTGTTAACTGTTTTTAGCATTTTAAATATGCCAAGGGGAGCTTGCCAGGCTCTGCCGTGTGGGTGGGGTACTCTCAGTAGCTTGCGGGGCTCTTCGAGAGGAGTGGAGGAATCGAACCTGGGTTGGCCACATGCAAAGCAAACACTCAACCCGCCGTGCTATTGCTCCAACCCGTATAAAAAGGTATTCTGAAATTTTCAAGAGATATCTAAATGTAACGTGAGTCATGGCTACTTATTTCAAATACACAGAATATTGGAAAATATCAAGGTAACTTTGCAAACTGGCATGGACCATTACAGAGGCTTTCCAAGCGGACAATAAAATACTAAATGTGTTTGAGAGTGAATGTCTCTATAGATAAAAGTACTGGGTGAGAAATGGTCCATGCTTGTCAATGATTAGCTGTGGTTTGATTAGTTTGCACATGTAAGTTTTAACAGGACCCTGGGCTCCATGCCCATCAAGCTTGTTTCTCTTCATGGAGAGAGTGTGTTCCCTCTCTTTCCTCTGCAACCCTGCATAGTACATGGTTGTTCTCACATAATATGGGTGTTTCTTATCTAAGAGTCATGCGTTATTGGTGATTTAGAATTTTCTAACTTTCAGATTCTAATTTCCTGGAAGACATACTGGATGTTGGGTGGAGGGGAATCATATGTCTGTAACTAAAATCCATGGAGCATCTGACAGACGAGGTGTCCAGTAGAGGTGATGAGTAAGAAGACTAGCCAGGCTGGTCTCAGCATGTAAGCACTGCATCTGCACAGCCATCTGGACCCAGATGTCTATTCTTTCTTATTTATCACTAAATATAAACAACGCTTTGTTTAGAAGCCTCCTTAGAAGGAGACATCTCTTCCATTTTACCATGCGAAAGCAGGTTGGGCAAAGTGATTTGAATCTTGTGGTGATCCAAGGACCCAAACCTGGAGAAATTCTGCTACAACTAGATGCCATGGGGTAAAAATAGAGATCCTTAACATTGTCGCTCATTCTGAGATAAGGAAGGAGAGATTTTTTAAACAAAACTTATTTTTGGTTGGAGTTTCCGAAATGTTGCTGACTTCCAGAAGAAGAGAAATTCTATATTTCAGCAGTGACCAATGCTGATAGATTGTTCATAAGTACACCCCCTCACCTAGGGAGGACATAAGTGTGTGACGACTAGGAAGGAGTGAGAGACATTAATACGTTTGAAGAGTAGATTGGAGGCTCATGTCACGGCTTCAATATCAAGGTGGATAAGGCCTGGATTTGCCTACTTACTCTGGCCATCCCTCAAAGGTGGAGACAGTAAACAGGGCCATCATGGCTGCCAGAACATTGTCAAAGTCAAACTTGCTGTTCTCCCAGCTCCGAGGCTGAATGATCGGGTGGTCAACTTCACCATCTTTATATGTGATATAGTTTCCCCTGAAGAAAGAGAGGGGAAAAAAAGAAAGTTCCTCAGAGGGTCTCCCTTCCCCTTCACATCTGAGTCACTAATGACTCTTGGCATGGTGGGTGGGACAGGACTCAGCACCCAGCTCCAACCCCATAGCTCTAACTACCGGGAAGACTCTCAATGGGTAGAACCCTCAAGAATTGATAATTTTACATGCTTTGTGAAGCGACCCAGATTACACTTGGGTTAAAGTTTCCTTGCGACAGAATGGGCTCTCCTCCTCACACCAATTCACCCACCTCCCAAAGGTTAACCACCTTGGAACTCGCTACCCTCTAGCCCATACTCACTTGCATTCTGCCTCAGTCTGTTTGGAACTATCTGAACAGGTGTAAAGCTTTCCCTAAAAGGCAGAAGAGTAACATCATTGGAGATATTTATTAATTAAACAAATCAACCCCCCTAAAATGGTTAGTGGGGATCTCTACAATTTAGCACTGTGCTAGCTTATGTATGGGGACAAAACTCATAAGGAGAACAGAATCCAGACAAGGAAGGCATGGTGCTTCATTTACATAAGGCAGTCAACAATGCCAAAACTCCCACAGGAATTTGTTAAAAAAAAAAAAAGAAATGCCAAAACGCCAGTGGGCCAGAGGGATAGTACAGTGGGTAAGGTGTTCGCCTCGCACATAGCTAACCTGGATAGTTCTTGAGCATCCCATTTGGTCCTCTTAACCCTGCCGGGAGTGATCTATGACCACAGAGCCAGGAGTAAGTCCTGGGTGCCACCAGGTGTGGACCAAAGTAGCTCCCCTAATGGAATGTCAAGTCATGAAAGCTGGTCCTTGTAAGAAGATCTTAAGTGAAACTTGGCTTGGAAGGGGGAATTGAATGACAAAAAATCCATGGAAATTTATATTGTGGGTGGGAGAGAGCAACACCATTTCAGATTGAGAAGAGAAGAAGTGAAAGGATAAAGACCCAAAGGAGCAAACACCAAGGAGAACACTGGCCTCGGTGCAGCTGAGTAGCCTCATCAAGAAACAGTGAGAGTGTACTGAGGGAGACATTAAGCTAAGAAGGTGGACACGATGTGGCCGACAGCAGGAAACTATAGGTTTTGAGCAGGTGACTGACATGGGTTTCAGAGGAAAGGTTCCTTCCTCTTTCTTGCTGGAAGGGTGCATAGGGACCCAAAAGAGAGAGCGAGTAATCTTCAATCCCACAGAACAAGGCCCCTTCTTCCAGGCTAGTCCTTCCATCTGGGATGCTCAGAAGAGAGAACATTCATCCCAAGCCTGACCCTATCCTCTTTTGAATCTGCCTGCTTCCTCTCCCAGGAATGCAGCTAGCAGGGAAGGGAGCAGAACCACCAATGAGAACTGAGACCTTACCTTGAAGAGCTGGACCCCGATGCAGGCAAACATGAACTGCAGCAGTGTGGTGACAATCACAATGTTTCCGATGGTCCGGATGGCAACGAACACACACTGAACCACATGCTGCAGGGAGAAGAGGACAGGGTTTCAGGCACTGCAAGCTTCCACAATTCGCCAAGACACAAGCCTCTTGGGGGAGGCAAAATGGGTAGTCTCTTGACCGCCAGCGGGGGGATCAGTCTCAAAGAAGCGAAGGACCGCACCAGAACCACAAGGGGATCAAACTCATTGATGCTTTGGGTATATTCCCTCACCACACCCCACCTAGGCCCAACTTCTCACCTTTAGTCCCTTGGCCCTGTTGATGGCCCGCAAGGGCCTGAGTACCCTCAGAACTCGCAAGATCTTCACAACATTGATTGCACTGGACCTAGGAAAAGAAGCAGCAGAGAAATAGGCTTTCCTAGTTTTTGGTGAGGTGGTCAATAAGACGGACATCCTGGTATGCAAATCCAAAACAAAGGAGAAAATATAAGTCTGATTGGGGGTCTTTTTAAAATCCTAGAACCACTGCCTCTTCTTTTCACCCACCCTGTAAGAATGTGATGTTTCCTTGTGGCCCTGGGACTTCATTGATAATAAATAACAAGAAAAATAATTTACAGTGAGTTATGGGCAATATAATATGTTACCAATGGGGGTGGAGGGAACTACAGAGTCAAAGAAATAAGATTTTGATGTGTTCAAACAGCTCTGCCTGTGTGAAATGGGACAGTAAATCATTTCATAAAGTTGTTGCAAGGATTGAGTGAGACAATGAGAATGGTCTGACAGTGTATTTGACACATAGTAGGTACTTTATGTGTTGTAGCTACCACTGAACTAACAGAAATGCTACAAAAATGTAGCTGAAATGTCCTGGATGTAAAGAGGGTCATATGGATGCTAATCTCCTAGCACATGTTCTAGGTAGTTTGTTGCCCATAATACTTATATGTGAAACTCACTCTGTTTCATAGCAGACTGGAGACTTGAAAGGATGGATTATACAAAACGGGATCTACACATCCGGGATAATGGGGCCATGTTAGAATTTCTGGAATCCTCAGGCAGCTTCTTTCCCTCGTGGGAAGGAAGTGCTTTGCCCCCCGATAGGATGCCCACATGGTTTCTGGAGTTATCCATCCACCTAGGTGGGACCTGTTCACCATAGCGGGGTGGTGATCAACTTTAAAGTGCACGCCTACTCACACACGCCAACTCTCAGATCCTCACAAGCTCCTAAACTCATCTTGGGACTGATACCATGTATGACCTGCCAGCAAGTTCACCTTCATTCTTCACAAGGTCAGAGAGATGTGCTCATGAGGGAGTGGGCAGAAAGTGTTGGTTTCCTTAGCTTGTGACTCTATTATTACAAGCCACTCAAAGGGCATTTCCGTTTATCACAGCATCTCAGGGAGGGAGTCCCTGCTTGTATGGAATCACAATCGGATTTATAGGTCATGGAAGGAAAGCACAGACTACAGGAGAAATTCCTGGTCAAGGTTAAGTTGTAATTGAGTGGCCTGCTGGGATTCCAATCTAGACTTGTGGCTCCCAGGTTGGTAGTTTTGTGTAATAGAATTGTAAATCACATAAAAGGGCCTTACTCCTTGTATCTCCACCTCCACTCTTTCTATGCTGCTTGTGAAAACATTTTCTGGAAGAGAAAGACCCGGGACCCTTTTCTCTGGCACAGATATGACAGAGGACAAGTCTCCTAACATCTTGGCCCTCATTTTTTTTCTATCTATAAAATCTGCCCCACCTATCTCCTAGTTATTTGGTGAGACTGATAGAAGGGTGCATATGAAGGTACTTTGAAAGTTAAAGTGTAGGATTAACAAAATTAGCTTTCAGAACTCGAGAGCAATGCCAGAACTCGAGAACAACACTTCAGGAGCTTTCAAGCCTCCTAAAGCCCAAGCTCTCACTCAAACCAATTAAATAAATATTTTGGAAGAGAGAGTTCATAAAATATCTTTTAAAAAAGCTACTCAGGTGAACCTGAGAACTGATTTCCAGAACTAGGCTTACTCAGGATGCTGGAGGGCCTACAGGGTGGTGGGGCAGCTGGGAGGGGACCCAGAGAAAATGGTCGAAGGTGAAGAGGACACTCTGGTGGGAGGGTTGAAACATTGTATACATGAAACCAACATTGTATGTGTGAAATCAACAGTATTGTACATCACAGTCCTCCAAACATCAAAGAAATAAAAACTGAATAAAAATAAAGCAACCAAGGTGATTATACTGTGTTTTTGAGACTGAGACACATTAAATCTCTCCCCTCCTATCCCAAAGGCTGTGACTGGGAAAAGAGGTGAAAAGGGTGGGAGGATGAACTGGGAAAAGGCTGATCACAGTAAGGGCAGGTGCTTGGCAGGTGAGGGCAGTCGGGGCAAGCAAGAACACTGGTCACATGGTGAGGAAGGCAGAATGACCCTCGAGACATGCCTCTCCTTATAACTCAGTCTCACCCTGCAAGGCATGGAAAGATTTGATACGTAAGTGTAATTCTTGCTGGATGTATGTACCCAAAGTGTTACTCCCCCAGAGATATGGGCACAAGAAATCAACTCCCTGAGTTGTGTGACAGAGTGCCCAACCCATTCATATCACAATCACACAACATTGGTCCTTCAGAAGGCCACTTTGGGACTTACTTTTTGATTTTGGTACCCATTTCTACTTGTGTGCCCCTTCTAGTCCTACTCACTGGATGCCAAAGGAGATGAGGGACACGCTGACCACGAGCAGGTCCAAGATGTTAAAGTAGTTCCGGCAAAATGAGCCCTTGTGCAGGAAAGCCCCGTAAGCAGTCATCTGCAGGGAGGCACAAAGAATCAGCATGATTGGGCATCTCCCCAACACACACACACACATCTTTCCTCTTGCTCACACATCATACACACCCCCCTACAAACACACGCACACGCACACACACTCACACCACACCACACCACCTTTTCCTCCCACTGCATCCCTTGGGCAGGACCCTATGGCAAGGCAGTGAGAAGACCAAGGCAAGCACAGGAAGGACTGAAAGAGGAGTGTCCTAAGAAAATGTTTCCACATCCACTTAAACACCATCAGAATATCCCCCAGCTAGGGATATCTAAGTCGTTCCTATCCCTACACTTGTGGCAATGCCAGACTCTTCAATCCTGCATTTGAAGACCTTTAGATCAGATCCTGTCTTGCTACTCTCATTTCCTCTGTTCTCTAGTTCCTCACCATTTTCTGGTGATGCCCATGTGATATTTCTCTGGTACACAAACTTCTCAACCTCCTCTCAAAACTCTATCCTCAGTGCCACTGTAGAACATTCGACATCTGGATAAAGGCAGGACAATACCAGTGTTCCTGGTTTTCCATTGTGTGCTGAGAGTCCTATGTCCTGGAAAACTCCTTGGTACTAGGCAGAGTTATCCTCTATGGCCAATGGGAAGTTCTACCAGTAGCTGGTAACTGGTAACCTCTACTTCCTAGATTCTGGACTATGTACTCTATGAGCAAGGCTATGTGTTCAAATGGGCATTATGGCACCATGGTTAAGAGTATGAGCTCTGGAGTCAGACAACTTGAGTATGAATTTTAATACAATAGTCTCTTATTTGTAAGGCCTGAGGCAAGTTGTCTAGCATGTATGTCTTAGTTTCCTTATCTGAGAACTGGAAACTAAGACAGAATCTATAGTGCACTAAGAATCAATTGAATTATTACATATAAACCATTTATAACACTATACTGTATTTAGTATGCCCCATAGAAGTTTTAGCTATCACTAGAGAAGTTGATCTGGAGATTGGAGAGTTTGTATTTGAATTTTGGATTCTTCCTACATGAAGGAAATTCAGTGTCCTCATCTCTCTGAGAGACACACAATGTCTATTCTGTAAGGGATATACTGAAATACAATGTGAAAAGCTCTGAAAACTCAAAAGGGACCCCAGGGGATGATGACTGTTACAGGACTTGGCTATTATTACTTGCCTTTGAGCTTGGATAAAACCAGAGTAGATGTTCACAAATAGTCTTTCCAATGTTATGGTAAGAACTGAGAGCCAGTAGATTTCCAGGTTAAGGGCCATAAAAGGCCTATGGCCATGTAACATCAGCCAGAGAGAAGATTTGGGAGCTGAGGGTTGAGAGACCAACATCAGCTCCCGCGTCATCAGGGGTCCAGTTCATCTCTTGGAATCAGAGCATGCCCAGGGCAGCATGTCCAACAGAGCAATTCAAAAGCAAACACAGGGGAAATTGGCAAAAATAGCTCTAGCAACCTACTTCCTTCTATTTATCTCTTGCAGCAGGAGGTCCCAGGAGACTCAGGCACCTGTGCCCTGCAACAGTTTCTAGAAAGTGGGTAGATTACATAAAAGGTTGTTGGGAATAAAATTGGAAGTCTCCCGAGGGTCTATCAGCTGGAGGGGCTTGCTGCCCTCTCAGTGCAAAACAGATACTCCAGAGACTAGACATGATGCTTTACCAAATCATGTTAACAAAGAACTTCTGTCTCTGCAGAAGGCTATGCACCTTCCTGGCCATCACACTCAGAGAATTAGAGAGGTGCCAGGTCTAATTCCTTCTTGTTCCTGGCTTGCATATTGTTAAGACACAAGCAGGCTCTCAAAGCACTGACCTGAGACCTTTGTCTTTGGGGTCCAGTTTGCTTCAGGGTGCCCTAAGTGAGACCTTTTAGAAAACACGTGTGCATCTGAGTGTGCGTGTGTATGAGGTGCATGAGTGTATGTGCGTGCGTGTCTATTTGTGTGTGTTAAGGGGGCTGGGGGGCACGAGCTGAACCCAGGTAGAACCAGTGGAAGAATGGACACAGGAGAAAGTGAAAATCAATTATGCAAAAATAAAAAATTAATTTCAAAATTATAGGTGGAATTCAGAACATCAGAGAGAGATAGATCCAGGTATCCGGTGCAAAATAACCGTCTGTTGTCCTGTTTTGCAGCATGTCAGCCACTCATATCCTGCTCCCGTAAATCTGTACTGGAATATTTTCAGTTTGAGGGCAAAAACGAGTGGGCACAGGATCACTGGCTATCTGCTTTGGAAAGGCAAAAATGACCCTCCCATTCAACATGGGTGACTATCATTTCCCTAGGGAACTCTTCCCATTCATAAATGTGCTTTATCACTGGTAACGTCTACTCATTGGCTGTAGGTCCATCTCTTTCCTCCCTGTGGGACAGTCATTTGCAGTGTTCAAGCCAGCTGTTATCAGAGAACCATTTCCTTTGAAGGCCAAGGATTCCCAGGTACGTGGCTGTGCATGTGCCCAGTGTCTTTCTTGTGCGTTACTGTCTCCACTGGCAGGATTCTGGGTCTTCAGGCAGTGCAGAGAAACCCAGGAGGAAGGAGATGCAGAAAAGTATACTGGGGCTGGGGGTTGTTTCGGGAAGCACACTGAGCATAAAAAAGGTCAATAAGAAAAGGGTGGGAAGAGGGGAGGTTCTTGCCATGACAATGCTTGCAAAGGGACCTTCCACTTTGGCTTGTCTGGCAATCTCAAAGGGAAAACAGCACCATTGAAATCCACAAGGGAAGCTCTGCAGAGTCAGAGGAAGAATGGAGTCTCAGAGATTTTCTTCTCCCAGGAAAGAATGCTGGATATTTGTGTGCCTTCTCTGAGCTTGGAAATCGGGAAAGTTGAATTTATAACGATGGCTTATATTGGGGCTACCAAGGATTCCCTTCCCCGACCCATGAGAAACGGGGTCTCGTTAGATCTACTCCCAGAGTAAAAGAGAGAACCCAGGAAATACTCTTGCTCTTCTAGAAACAAGGTCAGAAGCTGGGGGTCCAAAAAACTGAGCCTCTTGGGGATGAGGATATGGTAGAGTTGCTCCACTTTGCCCCAAATTTTATGTGTGTGGCATAACTATGACCTATACTAGATCTCTGGGGCTCTTTGGGAAGGAAGCATCTGTGTTTTGCGTGCATGGTCAGGGGTTTTCCTCAGCCCCATGAAGGGATGCTGTGTCACAATGCCCTTCGCTCTCTGCATGGGTAAGGAAGAATGTTCTAGAGATCTCAGTATAGGAAGTTGACTCAAGAGCCGAAAGAAAAGGAGCACACACAGACCCAGCAGTCAGAGCTTTGCACACGGCTGTTCTAGAACAGAGAGCACTCCTCTGAAGAGCACTGAACTACAGTCTTTGACATTTTACTATTTCCTTATGACAGGACTAAGACTTGGGGTTGTGGGGCGGGAGAGCTAGGGCAGCAAGTAATGTAATGAATGTATCCACCCTGAGTTTGACACCTGGCATCCAATATGGTGCCCCAAACCTCACCAGGACAGATCCCTGAGCAAAGAGCTAGAAGTAATCCCTGAGCACTGCTGGAAATAACAACCCCAGATAAAAGTAATACTTGTTTTATTACATGTTTGCTTCTCCAGATTACTTCCTAACCTCTAAACCAATGCAGTGCCATGTCAGTTCATCTGAGGACTTTCCATCCTGGGCTTGAAATGAACTGAGGGTTCAAAAAGAATCTGTATTTTTTCCATGAAAACCCTCAGATCACCCCCTATCTGCATGTGGCCCAATGACTATGACATAGGTCCAGCCAGTTGTCATGGTGGCCATAGCATGGAGGAAGACATTAGAGATGGGAATATAATGGCAGACCCAGCACGATTCAGATCTGAGGAGATTTTCTACTGTCAGGTTCCTGCTGCAGGTCAGGGGTCTCTGGGTGGGAGGAGGAATAGAGAATCCTTTGTTTAGTCTTTTGTTTCTGGTTCACACTTGGCTGTGCTCAGGGTTTACTCTTGACTCTGCTCAGGGATCATTCTTGGTAGTGCTGGGGAACCACATGTGATTCAGGGATTGAATGGAGGTAGGCTGTGTGTTAGGCAAGCACCCTATCTTCTATAGGATCTCTCCAACCTTAGGAAGGAGAGTTCTGTTAGAAGCAGGAACGAACTCCCTAGAGATGGTGTGTGTGTGTGTGTGTGAGATAGAGAGAGAGAAAGAAAGAGAGAGAGAAGGGGAAGAGAGAAAGATGAGGGAGGGGAGAGAAGAAGAGGAGAGAGAGAGAGAGAGAGAAAGAGAGAGAGAGACTTGTTGGGGATAGGCACTGCTGACTGGTGCAGCACCAAACCACAAAACTGGTGATGACAGGCAGTTCAATACCACTTCCAGGCAGAGAGGGGACATTGGGGTCAGGGTGGGTTGCTTCTGAACAAAGCCTAGGGCACAAAGAGAAGGGTGATATTTCCAATATCAGGCTTATCAGCTAAACAGATTGAGAAAAAATCAGCGAGGAGAGGAGAGGAGAGACAGAGACAAAGAACAGAGAGAGAAACAGAGATAGAGCAGAGAGAAAAGGATTCACTCCCATTGTATTACCTTAAGGATAATTTCTAATGTAAAGATACTAGTGAAGACATAGTCTGCATTGCCTAGGATCTGAAAAATAAACACAATTGGATTAGTGGCTCTTTCTTGTGAATCCGACACCAACAGAAGCAGGTATATCAGCAACAGACAGCAGCAGAGAGTGAAGTAGACAGGCAGAGTGAGGTGAAGCTCAGGGGGGTTTACCGTCAGAGCAATTTCAATGGTGAAAATGGTAGTAAACAAAATGCTAAAATAAAATAGAATCTGCAAAATGAAGAGAAACAGGGTGGGGGTGGATGGAGAAGGGAGAACTGCAGGATGGGAGGAGAGGTCCATGAATGTTCACCGGGAAGCAAATTACACGTCAAAATCGCCATGCAAGTACATGGCGGCAGATGGGGGAGGCATAGCATTCCCAATGGCATATACAGAGAACTGGGCTGAAGGAGGGCTAGCCTTGGCAACTCAGGAGCTCAAGCCAAATCCTCAGACCAGGGAAGGGAGCTTTCAGACCAGGCTGAGTCTGAACACCTCATGGCTGTTTTTCTAGTAGGTTCGATCAACAAACTCAACTAAGTCTATTGGGACAATTGTCAAAAGGACAGTGACTTGGTTGTTTTTTTTTCCCAGGAAACTAATGCTTAATTCTCACTGGTGTCTGAGCTAGTTCTCTGGTTTTGGTGGAAACCCAGATAGTTGGCATGTCCTTGGGGCCTGGATGGGTCATTTCTCACAGGAGGTCTATCCAGGCCGGGGACAAGCTGCATGGCACCTGATTTTTGTATCTCTGGTGATGGAGCAAAGTGACAGCCAAGACTTCACACTGGGAGAAAGTTTGAGAGTTTTCAGGCCCCAGAACCATGAGTAATCTGTCAGGGCCCTGGATTTATATTGGTGACTTTTACCTCAGCCCCTTCACCCTTAAGATATGACAAAATTTTGAGTCTTTGAGATACAGGGATTTTGATTCTAGCCTGGAATGTTTGCTGGAGCATTGGGGTGGATCTCCGAATTCAACTTTCTACTCTATTTGCTAGGGATCCTGAAGAATTGGAACTGGCCAGAGTACACTGAGACCACGAAAGCAGTCAGTGGTTACTCTCTACGAAGTTTAAAGGAACCAGTGAATCCTGGGGAACAGTTACAGGAAAATAAAAGGCCAGTCGGAGACACAGGGCACACATTTTTGTTCTTTATGTCCTAAGATGAGTTTCTGCCAAAGCTCCGATCTCTTCAAAAAAAATGTTTACTATGCTTCTAATAATAGATTTAGGGAATGGTCTGCTGATTGCACGATGAGAATCAGCCCCAGGAGCCTGGGCCCAGACCCGTTGCCAGGAGAAAGTTGTGCAGGAACAAAAGGGCACACGTACATAGTTCCTGAAGGAGGTTTGCTGGACAGGGTCTTCGGCGGCCAGGGAAATGCTGCTGAGCAGGATGAAGAAGAGTATCAAGTTGGTGAAGATCGTGTCGTTGACGATGCGGTGGCACTGGACACGAAACCTGCATGGGGGGAGGAGCAGAGACACATCAGAAGACGGGGAGCAGCCACCTGGGTCTTCGCAGCAAGTTCTGTCCACTTGCTAAAGGTCTTTGCTGGTTTGGGGCAGCGGGTCTCCACCCTAAAGTCTTACTGCTGCCAAGGAAGGACAACAGCCCCCAGCCCCAGTGTCCCAGCGTCCCAGGAGACTTTCAACCTTTAGGAGTCTTAGTAACTCCAAGTACTGCCGTGAGGTTAACAAGTGGTCCTTCAATTCCCTTTGGGACTTTGTTTTCCTCATCAACAGAAAAATCACTTTATGAAGATCTACTTCATAGCTGCATATGTTTGATCTTTGAGCTACAAGGATGGGAGCAATGCTAAACTAGCACAATGGGGTTTTCTTTCAACATGGTCTTCATCCTCTTCAATGTGAAGACAAGAATCTTTACAATGATGCAGCTATGAACTTCTTAATAACTTTTTCCTTGCTCTAGCTTGCTCTCTTTCTTTATAAGAACAGTGGCTAGTGCATTCCATAGTACAATCATAATAGATTTTATGTCAATTTATTTTGCTGAAAAGTGGGAAGAGGCAATTATGTGAAGAAAGTTATTTTATTCTAATATTAAAAACAGGGTATGGTTATATGGTGGCAATAGTTATACACATATATACAGATATGTGTTTGTTATTTTGTTGTCAGTAAGACTTCTGGTTAATAACAGGCTGTTAAATTTTTTTGGCCAGGTGGGGAGGTTGTCAAAAAGACAGGACTAGGTAAATTTCTCAAAAGATTAAACCAGGAGGCTCAGGTTTGATCTTCAGCATTACGTAGTCCTTCGAGTACCAGAGCCCCCAAACATTGTTCTAGAAGGAATACCTCTAGAAGTCCCCCTCCAAAAGTTACACAGTGTTTTAACTGCATGGGTATCCCTAAGGTTCATGTAGTTCAATGGTCAACTGTAAAGGGAAACATAGAGTCCTCAGAGGTGTGGGTGGTGAGACTAGCAAACACTATACTCTGGTTCGGTGACTGTTCTGGTGTAAGAGCTTCTGGTGTGTAGTTCAGCTCTATTCCTAGCACAATCACAAAGTGCCCGATCCTTGAATAGCAATTCTTAACTTACATAATCTCATCTGGATAACAGCACACAAAGGGAAATGTGACTCTTGTTATCATCATCATCATCATATAGATATAAATACTAAAACTTAGGAAGCAGAAATTGTGCAGAAACACAGTGCATAGAGTGAAGGTTGTCTGAGTTTGAACCCAGAATTCAGTCCTTTGTAGCTGGCACTGTAACTGACTGGGTTCTCTCAGACTCTACTGTTATAGAAGCACCAAATCCTGGGGAGGACCAACACTTTCCAACTTGTCTGCAAAGATCATCTTCAAACCAATCATTCTTCTGAGCTGGGAGCTCTGCAGTTGGCAGCCAAGAGTTTCCTGAGAACCATGCTGATAGCAATACGACTGTGATCAGACTGTATTTCACAGTAGTTTTGAGGTGGGAAATGGAGCCTGGGTACTACAGTCTGAGCCTACATCCCCCCCCCCCCCCCCCGCCCCATAGGGCATCTGGAAAAAAAGAGCTTCCCTCATCCTAACTTGGTCCACAGGCATCTCACTAAGATGAGAAATTGAGGTCACAATCAAAGTTCATTGAACATAAGAAGATAAGCCAGTTAAATGGGAAACCTGAAGATAGGAAATAAATTAATCAGACACCCCTTTCATAATGACATACTGGGGTCATCATATGCTGAATATTTGAAATATTTACTAGAATGAAGATATTCCTCAAATTTTTTTCACAAAGATGATTTTAAAAGAAATGACTATAGAGACAGATGGGCTTAGAAAATAAAGTTAAAAATAACTTTGGATATAAAAACTGATTTAATGGGGTCAGAATTTTAGTTGTGTGATAACTTGCATGTTTTGTATGTGTAAATCCCTGGGCTTGATTTCCAGAACTGAAAAAAATAAACAAACAACAGCAAACTTCATAAAATTTGTTTAAGCAGTAACATCAAATTCAAGAGAGAATTTAAAAGTGGAAATGCATATCTGAAGAAATTTTCCAAAACGTGAAAAAAAAAAGGAAAAAGAGGTAGATACAAGGAAAGACACAGAGATTGCTTACTAGTTGAAGAGGACAAAGTCTAATATATAATATATATATGGAATGACAGAAAAAATAAAAGAAAGAAAAGGAGAGGTAAACAGACCAAGCTTTTTAAGAATTAGCAATTCTTATTCTAGTCCTTAATGACATTCAAGAACTACAGAAAAATATAAAACCATGAATTGAGGAAGCATAACATAATCCAAGTAGGGCAGATGGAAACAAAGCTAATGTCTAGACACATGGTGGTACCCCCCCCCCCCACACACACACCAAATGCATCAAAAGATGCTAAAAGTAGCCAGAGAGACAGGCAGTTGTCTACAACAATGAGAGCTAAAATGATAGTTAACTTTACAGTGAACTGTTATATTTAACATGATGAGGGACAAAACCCACCAACATCAACTTGCACTGCAGTAAAGCTATCTTGGAAGCACAGAAAATAGAAATAATCAAATTTATGATAAACTAACTAAAGGAATTTCTAAAGGGTATACTTTAAGAATGAACATAATTGCATAAAGATGAATCAAACAATTTGGGAAAAATGGTGAATGAGTAAAATGTTAAGTTGTATGTAAATCCAAAAAGATATACCATGAATACGATAACAAAATAATACTAGTACTGCTAAGACTAACTTGTTGGATTAAAATTATAAAGGTCTGAATTGAAACGCTAAACATGAGTGACATATAAATCAGGAGGGATGAGAGCTAAATTAGTCTAAGCATTTTCTTTTTCTTTGTTTTGTTTGGGGGCCTCACCTGGCTGTGCTCAGATCTATCTCCTAGCTCCGTGCTCCTAGCTCTGTGCTCTACGTTCACTCCTGGTGGGGCTCAGAGAACCCTCTGTGGTCCCAGGGTTTAAACCTGAGTCAGCCACATGCAGTGCAAGTGCTCTGCTCACTCTACTATCTCTCTGGTCCCAGCATGCCCTACTTTGCAGGAGGAAGTTAAAGATCTTGTTTAACTTTGGGCTTTGTTGCTTTGTTAACCCTGGCTCCATCCAGAGCGCGGAGACTTGGTACCTGGTGATTGTGTATCACAGAGAGTTCAGAGTCCCACTTTCCCCACCATTCTTGCACACCTGTTGTTGGGGCTGAAGATGAAAAACGCACTGGCTTCCGGCATAGGTACTGCCTTTTCCTTGAGGTGCAGCTCAGAGAGGGGGCGTGGGCGGGGGCCCACAGGCATCTCAGGCTCCTCTTCATCATCCTCTCCTGCAAGGGGGGAAAACACCTTTCTAAATAACTCGGCCACTCCCACTTAGTTTTACCATGGTGCCCACTTCCAGATACCTCTCTACTGGCAGGAATAGGATGTCATTTGTGTCACTGAAAATGCAGAATACCAACCGAGTCAGATGATCAGTTCTCTCCCATGGGTACTGCTGGTATATGTTGTTTCTCCGCCCCCCCCCCCCCCGCCCAGCCCCCAACTAGTGTGCAATAAGTAAAACTGAAAGTAGGGAGACCCACTTATCCCAGTTGACCCAGGAATTTCTTAGTATTTCAAATTAAAATCCCCACATCTTAGAAACTCCTCAGTTCTTAGAAAATCGAGTGAAGCTGAGTGGTAAGACTATGCACTCTCAATTGATAATCAGAGGCTGCCAGTGGGGAGGAGGAGGGGCTGACTTGTAGGTTCCTCTGCAAATTATCCAATTTGTGAAGGTTTCAGGAGTCTAAAAGCAGTTCTCTTTGCTTTAATAAAAATACAAAACAATTGTGTGTTCCAGGGATAAGAGGATGAAAATGCTACTCATAATAGTTCCTTCACTCCATGGCTGAAATGCAATACCAATGAAAGAAGTGCCTGTGTTTTTCCAAATTTAATATGAACCAAAAGCAAGCAGCTTATTACTTTGCTTGTGAACTCAGTGTCCATGGAAGGAAATTGTTGTAAGACATGTTTAAATTTGTCATATTTAAAGTGTTAAAAGGTGGGGAAATATAATAACATGAGAGTTAAGAGCATGGGCACTCTAGCCAATGCCTTGATCCAAATTTAGGCTGTTTCTTTCTGGATATTTAGTCTCTCTTTGCCTCATTTTCTCCATCTAAATGATGGAATGCATGCCTCAGAAGTATACCCAGAATATAGCAGTACTATATTAAGTGTGACCTGCTCATTTATTATTATCTATAATCACGGGGTACATCTCAGCCCATAAATGAGTGCTTAGCATCTTTCTCAGACTGATCTTTGTTTCCCTGGAAAGCTCCCATTCGTGTCAAACTCTCTTATGAGCACTCTCTGTAGTAAGTTGGGTAGTATTCACTCTGTCCCCATTTCATGTCCACTTGGAACCACAGAATGTGAATTTTGGAAACGGAATCTTTGCAGGTGTAATAAGTTATTACGAAGTCCTATTGGACTAGGGTGGGCCCCATTGTCAATGGCTGTGGTCCTTATGAGGGGAGTTGGAGAAACACACATATAAAGAAGACGACCATGGCATCAGAGTCATAGACGGGGAAGATGTAGCCACAATTCAAGGAATATCAATGGTTTCTAGCAAGCAGAGCTTCTCTCTTGAACCTTTGGGGAGAATCTGGCTATGTCTAAATTGAATCCAGACTGCCAGGTTCCAGAATAGTGAGAAATACATTCGGGTTGTGTCAAACCACCAAAATCATAGTACTTTGATATGGCAGCCCCAACAAACTAACACATTGATTAAGGACTTTCTCTTTTCCTCGTCCTTCCCCCACCGCCACCACCTTCATCACCATCTCTGCAAAGCTGCAGACTCCCGTTTCAGACAGTATCACCCATCTGGCTTTCCTGTTTACAGAGCTCAAGAGAACCTTTCTACGAATTCCTGCACCACATCAAGATCCTTCATTCATGGGCAAATAGGACAAAATACCTAAGATGCCTGCTTTGGAATGTACGTAGTTTCTCTATTTCTCTAGGTCCAGAAAATCTTGGTTTGTAGCTCTGATTTCTTGGTGCTTATTTAACTACCATATCAACACCCTCTTTGTAAGAAAGATTTAAAAAAAAAGAAGGTTTTTCATTTTATGGAAAATGAAGAGCATTGAAAGATGACAGATACAGGAAATACATCTTAAAGAAAAGGCGTGACTCCTTGTACCAAAATGAAGTCAAGTGGTGCAGAGGAAAAGAGAAAGTGTTTTTTTTTTTTTTTTTTTTTTTTTTTTGCCTTTTGGGTCACACCTGGCGATGCACTCAGGAGTTACTCCTGGTGGTGCTCAGGGAACCATGTGGGATTCTGGGAATCAAACCTGGGTTGGCTGCTTGCAAGGCAAAAGCCCTACCCGCTGTGCTATCTCTCCAACTCCGGAAGTGGTTCTTTATTAAACAAGAAGTGATTCATAACATGGTTCTTTATTAAACAAAAAAGCATTCAGGGACCCAAAGCATTTTGAGAGGCTCAGGAGAATATAAACAGATACTACATTCTTTACCTAGCACAAGAGCTAACCAGCAAGACAATTAATTGCTTCAGCAGAAAGAAGCACTAATGAAAACTGTATACAGGCCAAGGGTTGAAGCATCTTATCCCAACCTTGGAATATGAAAGAAAGGAAAACAAACAATTGAAATAAAAGTAAAGCAAAATAAATGAAACCAAGGCGACCCAAATCATATTTTCTAATGAAATTTAACAAAGAATGATTCTAAATCCTTACCTCATTGCATTCTTTTCAGTTTTTCTCTAAATGAGCCAACTTTCTTATTCATGATAATTTGATAGCAAGTAATTTCATGCTCATTTTAATTATTTATGCTTATACAAAAACATATTTACTGACTTTGTGCTTTTTAAAGCTTATATTGACGAATTTTGCATGCTCTTTATCTGTAAGTAGCCTGCCTCAGAATTCCAGTCTTGGGGAGAAGCCAGTCATTTGGTCCACTGGATTTAGTGGAATTTCACGCATAATACTTAAAAGGAAACTGTTTCTGAAAGACAAACTCAAATTTTCAGAGGGACAGGATCCTGAGAGCCTGAGAAGCTATGCATGTATTATAAATATGCAGAGAGAGTGACTGATGAGGAAGTCAGGAAAAGTCCATTTGGTGTGTGGTTTTGGCAACAGAACCACCTAGATTCCCACTCATTTTCTCATCTCTGACCTTGAACAGTTGGAGAAGAAGTGTCAGAGGTAAAGTCTTTCTGCTTTTTGGAGTCGCAGCTGCTTTACAGACAGTGGGGCTGACATTCAATGTAAGACCTTTGGGCCCTTCAAAGTCGAGCCGCAGTGTGTGGCCGGCCTTGCACCTCTATGGAGGCACTCATTTTCACCTATGTGACTTTGATTCAGATCAGCCATTAACACCATAAACATGATGTTTAACATCTCGTGCCCACAGCACACTGAGTCCAAAGTTGTGCTCCTTGCCTTCAAGGAGCTGTGTTTTCAGGCTGCCCCAGGGTTCTCTGGAAGCCCATAAAAATGAAAGGTTAGTCCAGGATAAGTATCCCTACTGGATAGTCCCAGAAAGGAGGCCAAATATGTGCTTTCTGCATTGGGTATCTTCCTTTGGCTGCTCAATTCAAAAACTTCAGAGTTAGTAGCTGGAGTGATAGTACAGCGGGCAGGGCATTGCAGATGGTTTTCCGAGTGCCAGCAGGAGTGATCAATGAGTGCAGAGTTAGAAGTAAGCCCTGAGCATACTGGTGTGGTCCCAAACCAAACAAACAACCAAAAAAACTTCAAAGCTATCTTCAACCCTTGTTTTCTCTCCAACTTCTAGCCAGTTCATATGTCCAGTTGGCTCTAGCTGCAAAAGTGCCCCCCAAGCCACACCATTTTTTTTTTTGTCTCTCCAGAACTATCACTCTGGCCCAAACTGCTACCATCTTTCTCCTGGACTACTTATTTCTCTAGTCTCTTCGCAGCCTCTGGACTGACTCTGGTTTTTAGTTTTTTGGTTCTGTTTTTAGGGGTGGAGTTGGACTTTTGGGCCCACTCAGCAATGCTCAGGGGCCTCTTCCTGGCTATGTGCTCAGGAGTGACTCCTGTCTATGTTTTGTGGACCATCTGCAGTGTCAGTGATTAAACCAGAGGTAGTGCAAAGTTGTCATATGCAAGGCAAGTACCTTATCTTTTATACTATCTCTCCAACAATGAGGTCACCTTGACCGTTTTTTGCCCAGATTCAGACATGACTGAATCTTCTACTATTATCATTTTGTTTTTATTTTAGGGCTACACCCAGTGCTGATTAGGGATTCTCCTGGATCTGTGCTGAGGGATCACTACTGGAGGACTTGGGGGACTACATGGGGTACCAGGGATTGAACCCTGGTTCAATCCCTGGTCAGCCATGTGCAAGGCAAATGCCCTACCCATTATATATATATATATATATATATATATATATATATACACACATATCTATATCTATATATATCTTGTAGAGGCAGAAGGGTGGTGGGTGGGAGGAAAATAGTGTGGGGCATTGGTGGAGGGAAGTCCACACTGGTAAAGGGATCAGTATTGAAACACTGCCTGAAACCCAATCATGAATAACTTTGTAATTTTCCAGTGACTGAAAAAAAAGTTCTCTAATCTCATTAATGAACATGTTATGTTCTGTATTGTTACTAAAGGGAAAAAACTTAGAGGGAACTGTCAATAAGGAAAGAGAAAGAAAAAAAAAAAACTTTGATCAGGAATCACTGTTCCACATAGAAACAGCCCAGCTCCACTAATCAAAAAAAAAAAAAGACTAATCTAAAACAAAAGAACCGGTGAGCAACTGAATCTTCCCAGTTAGACCAGGATATGGGCTGAAAACTCTGGGGTGTTCTCAGAAAGGGGCCGTTAGGTGCCCCAAGGCCTCCCCACCATGGAGGCAGCCCATGCATCTAGCCAGCAGAGAAATGGCTCAGCTCCATGACTAATCTCAAAAAAGAGCATGAGGCTGCTAGATCTTCCCAGACAGACCAATTGGGGCTGACAGCTCCGGGGACTTCTCAGAAAGTGGGTGGGTAGATACCCCCTTTCTGGCCAAAGGGACAGCAGCCCCAGCCATACCTGACACCCTCCAACACACAAACTGCCTGGCTCTGCATCTGTACCTCGTCAAGATGTCGAGCTACCAAATCATTCCAGCTCCATAGCTCCTGGACTGTGCAGTCACATATCCAAATTTCATAGTAGTGTCAGTCCAGTCGGAGCACAGAAAATCTAATGGAAAGGTTGCAGGGAAAACCACTGAGCTCAGTAAGTTAAACGTTAACAAGAAGGCTCGACTGGCACCAACCCGTGAAGCCAATCCTCAATCACTTCAGCAACACCATTGTGAGACATAATAATGATCACAAATCCACTCTTACTGCGAGTGAACATATTCAACTTTCCTGATTATCTAAAAATATGCCATTTTAAAGTTCATTTGTTCATTCAGGTTTAAGGCAAGGTTTCCCACCCCTTGACTACATTTGGTCAATATTTCTAGGATGTGTTTGAGATTTCTAAGATGTCTTTGTAACCATTTCTGTAATAGTAGAACAAACTCTGTAGTTGCCCAAGTCCTAAGAGACACTCGCATTCATCACCTTGTTGGGAGAGTGGGCCGGAGTGGAATGATGAGGAGTCAGATCTCCCAGGAAGACAGAGGGTGGTGGTGGGCCGCAGGTGTCTTTGTAGAATGCTCACAAGAGAGACAGTGAAAAAGGAAACTGAACTTTGCCCCTCAATATCCAAGATTTCCAGTGACCTTCCTTGGTTCCTGACCCAGACATAGCCTGACTTGATTAGAGAAGGGATTACTAGCAAATCAACATTCCCTTGTCTGCATATAATCCGTTGGCAGCTTGAGTCTGGTGATAATAACTGCTATTCTAAGTCAAAGGAAGGGAAGTCAGGGGCTGATCTAAGCACTTGAGTTTCATGCGTTTCATGAGGCAGGACAGTGAATCCTGGATGGATGTCCAGGGATCTCCAACATGTAAGTCAAAGGAGATCATCAGATATTTTATGCATCAGATGAAAGATGAGGCACTAAGGTTAAAAAAAAAGTTCTTTGGTTGTGTGGGTGTGTGGGTGGGTGGGAGTGGTAGTCCACACATGAGATACTCAGGATCTATGCCCAGCTTGATGTTCAGGGTTGGCAAAGTGGAACTGAGGGGAGGGACAAAATCAATGTTAGGGACAAAACCTGGGTCTCCTGCATGCAAAGCATGTGATCCACCCTGTTGAGCTACCTTCCTATTCCCAAAGAATAGCCTTTTTTCCCTTAATAACAAGAGACCTGAGAACATTTTGCATACAACATGTGGACATCTGTGGTGGCAGCTGTCCTGTTCCCAGCACTGCCTCCTGGGTAAGGGCAAGACAGATTTGGGACCGACTATTATTATTATGTGAGCAGAATGCTGTAACATATGCTATACTAACCAATCTTATCCATTAACAGTGATTTTTACAGCAAGGCTATAATGAAAAAAAATAAAAAAACCTTAAGTGTAGGTTGTACCTGTAAGTATACCTGATTTATTAATGATCTTAATTATTATGGAGAAACCTGAAGCAGAATTCTCCCCTGAATGATAACTGGCAGTGCTTAAATATTCAGAGACATTTGGCAAGGCAAGTACTCAGAGATGGAGGTGAGGCCATCAATCTCTAACACTTGGCTACTTCTCTTCGACTTTGGCATTTGTAACTCTACCAACACCCACCCCCACCCCTTCCAACCTCAAGGGTATGTAGTGGGACTGGTACCTGGGGTTTCTGGGTTGGAGTAGGGGCTCTTGTCCTCATTTTCATTGGGCTGGAGGTCATCCATGTTAATCTGGTGAACCAAAGGGGAAAAGGAAGAATGTGATAAGCTCCACAACACACCATTGTTCCAAAGACTCAGAAGAGCCTGACATTACGTCACCATAAGGGGCAAGGTTGTGCTCTCAAAAATCACTACCCTGTTAGTTTGGTCCTGTCCTTCAAGACCAGTAGAAGGCCAGGGTTCAAGTGGTCAGTTTTCTCTTCAGCTTCCAGGCCCCCTTGCTCTGCCCTGATAGGTTTCTGCCCCAAAGTCTCTTTGCTTCCTCTCTCAATTCTCAGGTGTCAAGCTTGTGGCTGCCGTTTGGGGGAAGGGATCAAGAGGAAGCCCCTTACCTTTGTAGTGGGGGGAGATTCTCCATCAGCTGTAATAGATTTCAGTTCAATTTTCTCCTCCTTGGTCTCATCAACTACTGCTTTCTCTACCACCTCTTGTTTCTTTTCTGGGCTGGTGGTCCTGGCCGGTCCGCAGGAGGAAAGCACAAACAGATGTTTACTGGCTTGATAACAAACTGTGGGAGAGAACCACCCTGGGACCTTGGGGACCACATTTTTCCCACAATAAGTTCACTGGGAGGAGATTCCCTGGGGCTTATGCCCATCCTTCTGATCCAAAGCACCTGGCATGTGCAGCTTAATCACAAATGCTTTAGGGCTCAGGCTCCAGGCACTGCCCTGTCCTTGCTTGTCTGAGACTTAGTTGGTTTGGCCCCGGTGAACCTAGAAAAGGTCTCCGGATCTCATTCAGGATTGGTTCCTGGAGACCTCAGTTCCAGATCCAACAAAAATGTGACCCATAACCGGCCCATCTAGGAAATAAAGGCAAGAGGGCCCTTTCTTGTTCACACTAGAGCATCCTGCATTTCACTGCACAATCATTGTCATAAAGTTTCATTATCAAAACAACTGGGGTGTGACTCTGTGAAGCTTAAAAATATTGTGCCAGCAGGTGCAATAATTACACGGTGGGGATGATTATGTGGGAAAATATGGTAGTCAACAAGCCACTAGGTATGCTTTCAGCAGAAATTGTCTTCCTCTTCTAAACGACTGCTTCCTGCCCTTCTCATCCTTTATCTCTACCACTTAGCATGACCTCTCTTACTAAGAGAGGTCTCCAGGGCCAAGGAGATAGCTCAAAGGGCCAGATGTTTCCTTTGGATATCTCCCACTTACTGCCTGAACAAAAAGAAAGAACAAAACAAAATGAAATCTCCCGAGTTTCTAGACAGGTAGGGAAATATTGGTGCTGGGAAGATAGCACAGCGGGTAGGGCATTTGCCTTGCATGCGGCTGACCGGGGTTCGCTTCCCCGCATTCCATATGGTCCCCCAAGCAGTGCCAGGAGTAATTCTTGAGTGTATAAGCCAGGTGTAACCCCTGTGCATTGCTGGGTGTGAGCCCCCCCCAAAGAGGTAGGATAATATTCTCACAAACTGTGATACATTGTGTTCCCCTAGAAGACCTAGGCACTAGGTACCTAGAAATTCTGGAGTCCTGTGCTTCCTGTAGCAACCCCCTTCTGACCGTCAGAGCTAGGACAGTTGCCAGAACCCTCACTCTCTTCCACCAATGAGAATGTCATCCCCAAAATGGGACCTCGCACTGGGTAAGCTTAGAGGGTTACCTGGCCAGCTTCTTCCTCTCCTTCTCTTCTTCCTCCTCCTTTTGGGCTGATGTGAGGCTCTCGGCATCAGCTAGGTTGTCCACAGCAATGGCCAAGAACACGTTCAGTAGGATATCTGTTTGTGTCCGTTCTTAAAGAAAATGACCCTTGGCCTTAGGGTATTTTAGTGGACATAGGGGTCCAGAAGAGGGCAGAACTTGAGGGGTTAGATTAACCAGCAGAGCGAGCTTGATGGTGACTCACTCTCACAGGCTTTCCTGCTCAGTGGTACCCCTCCTCCACCATTCTATCCCCTCCTCCAAATCTACCTTTCTTAGCTCACAAGGAGTTTTCTCTGAGGCTGAGAGCAGGCTGGTTTGCAGGGTGAAGGGGGCGGGAAGGAGGCAGCAGCCCAGCCTTGCTCTTTAATTGCTGGGTTTCATTACTGGTCTCCCTGCTGAGATGATGGCCTGTAGTTGACATTATAAACAGCACTGTCTCTAGTACAGAAAGAACTTTGGAGTGGTTCATTAGAGCTGGTACTATGAAGGCCACCTAGATCTCTGCCAGGTTTTACGGGAACTCACCCCTCTAATGACCCTTGGGGAGGGGTCCCCTGGAGTAGACCAAAGTTTAGGGATTCCTTATTGAAGTGCTTATGTTTATCCTTTTCTTCTCCTGCCCCATCCACCCCAGAACCTGGAATGGAAAAGGTCAGTGAGGCCACAGGCAAAATTCAAGAAAGTTACGGTCGAAACGGGTTTTAACATATATTAAGTCTGACCTCCAACCCCGAGCCCCCAGACATCCACTCCACACTCTTTCCCATGTAGGGAATGTGCAACCCAGGACTGAAAGGTTTATCCAAGCATGCTCCCAGACACCGCCCCCTGGGGCCCTCCCTGTGAGAAAAGCTCTGCACACACTCTCCTATTAAACAGAGTCAAGTAATTATTATGCATTGCTCCATTTTACAGACACTGGGATGGAGGAGCTTGAGTTTGCCAGAAGTCACCCAGCTGGGGAGAAGGGTCATGAGTTTGATGGCATCAATGACCTGCTAGCTGCACTCCATGAAGCCGTGACTAAAATACAAATCTTGGGCCTGAGCTGCTTCTTACACTCCCCCATCACCCCCACACACCCTGCACACAAGCCTGGAGTTAGGAAGGGGATGTGTGGTGTGGGGGCTCAGGGGAAGCATCTGTGGCTGGAACCCCGATACCAGATGGGCCCAGAGCTTTTCCTGGGACTAAAGTCAGAGGGGTCTCAACAGGAGAGACGCTCCTCCAGCAGGAGACAACAGCAAAGGTCATTTCAAGGAGGACTGAGTCCTCCCTAATCAAGCACCCAGCCAGACATACCACCACCACCCAGGGCTGCTCAACTCCCTCCTTGTGTTTGTTTGCATCCAATTTGCTTGAATGGCTGCACAGGCGTAGGGCCAGGGGCACCACTCACCTAGACCAAGAGGAGAATCACCTCCTGGAGTCAGGCCCTGTGGCAACCCAAGCTGGGCCAGGAAGAAGAACTCATTTCCCCACCTCTGCCAGAGCACCAGGCTTCCACCAGAGCCTTTATCCGCAGGGTCGGTGGCTCTGGACTGGAAATACTTTGTCCCCAGAACACACTTTTCCTCATTTTCCTGGGAGCCCTGTAGATAGGTGACCATAGTTTACGGACCCAAATCAAGACCTGCTGTGCATACGTATTTGGCATCATGCTATGGGTTTAGGGGCGGGGGCGGGGTGGGGGAGGGAGGCAGGAGCAAAGGATACAATTTCCACAGATGAAGAGGATGATGAAGTAAATACAGACTAACATCCCTGGAAAAGAGGGGCCGCCATAAGCCATGATCCCATCATACATCACCGAATTCCAGTCCTCCCCGGTCAGGATCTGAATGACACATTCCCACCAATAAGGGACACAGCGTTAGACCAACAGCAAACCTCAAAACTCCCGTACCCTGCCCCACTCTATTAACAAAAATGTCTGAGATTTATGAACCCCCTCTTTCCCACCTCCTGGCTCCCAGTTCTCCTCCCATAGGCTCTGTGCAGTTGACCTGAGCACATTAGACAAAGTGCATATCCACCAACATAACAGTGTTCGGGGAGTGTCAGAACAACTTGTCAAAATGGCTTTTAGTATCCATGCAAAGTGCATGAGATGACCCTTAGGTTATCAGCTGGGACCATTCCCTAAGTTAAAGCAGCAGGGTCCCATTTACAAAGGTGAAAGTGTTCATGGCCACCCCAATTTTCTTCAAAAAGTAGTCATTTGGATATCCCTGTAGGAAGGGGTGGCATTCTGGTGATTCTCAGTGAACCTGGCCAACATTTCAATGCAAACACCCAAAGATGTGGTGCTGTTTGCATCCTGTGGTGCTGGGAATGGCCCGGATTGCCCCAGGAGTGCTTCAGGGCCTCTGGTGATGCTAGGTTCAGTAACTATGATTGAACCAGGGTCTGCCACATGCAAACATGAGCCTTAATCCCTGGTCCTTGGGTCATCCATTTAAAGGTTTTTGCAGCATTTTTGTTTTTATCTATCATCTATTTTTAAACTTAAACAATTGATACTTTAACTTACAGCTAAATCCAGAACATCTATGAAGCCACAATTGGGAGCATTACTCTACTTTTTCCACAAGGAACAAACATAGCAGGCAGGAAAAACAGAGCAATCTCTCCTTTCCCGATTAGAAACGTCTGCTTTTCCATGCTTAAATGTTGTTCACTTGGGGAGAATTTATTTGGAGAAAGGATTCCATGGCTAAGGAAGAACTTTAGAATTGGCCGGTGAGGTATGGAATTCGTGGGATTCTATGGGGATCAGGAAGGGGAGCCTGAGGAAGAAACTCAAGAGTTTCTTGTGCATGGACCCTCCAGGGCTGAGCTAAGCTAACTCTGACTGCCCGGTTGAAAGGGAAAACTTCCCACCACCCTTTAAAGATTCTTTCCTTCCTTCTCCCCAAACTCTTTCCTTCTAGCCCCCCACCCCAGGCCTCATCACATCAGCAGAGTTCGTACCTGAAACACGGTGAGGAGGGACTGAGGAAAGTTATCAAATGTGCTCCTCCGGGTCTGCATCTCATCAAAGTTGAACTTTCCTCCAAAGAGCTGCATGCCCAGGAGGGAGAAGATGATGATGAAAAGGAAGAGAAGCAGCAGCAGGGAGGCAATGGAGCGCACAGAATTCAGCAACGATGCCACCAGGTTGCTCAAGGAGTTCCAGTACCTAAGGGCCAACACGAGGGCGATCAGCACGCTGAACTTTCAGACACCAGGAGACTAAGATACGTTTCAACTCGCTCCTTTCCCCCGTTGTCTTGGGGAAAAGTGTCCGTGGTGAGAGTTGAGGGGGTTGAGTCATAGCGAGAGCTTGGGGCTAAGTGAACTCAAGGTGCCAGTATAGAGAGGGAGAAGGGCGGGGCTCAGTGGTGAAATGTTTGAGCCCAACCGTTGTCCTCCACCTCACTCCGTTGTTGGAGTTGCATGTGCCCTTGGACAAGCCACTTAATCCCTGGCTTCTTAAACTGTGAGCTGTGATGCTTTATGAGCTCATATAACTGAATGTGCAGGTATTAAAAAAACTGGACGACAGTGAAAGGTTTCTGAACATACAATAACCAAAAATCAATTTAAATTCACAAGCATAATGGATTTGAAATGTGCTTATCCATGCTGCCTTTCTCAGGAGCAAAGGAGTCATGAGTAGAAAAGTTGAGGATGTTTTCTGAACTAACTTTTCTATTTTTTTTTTTTGTTATCTCTCTGCCACATCCCACAACCTCTCCCATAAGCAACCTATCCCCCGCCTGCTCTCTGTCTCAAAAAATTAGACTGTAGCAGTTCCCACTTGTCTAGGTTATTGGGAGGATTACAGGATAATTCCTTCCCCACCAAGAACAGTCTGCTTGTCCTTTTTGATATTTTGAGATTTCTTGAAGAATTTATTTGGGTAAAAGATTCCATGGCTAAGAAAAAGTTTTTAAACTGCTCCAGATTTTTTTTTATTGGGGCGGGGAGGGGATAGTCCACATGAAAGCACAATTTTGTGGACTGAAAGTGAAATCAGTATTGGATTATATGGAAAAACAATCATGATCAATATCGACAGTTAAAATAGCATACAATTTATTATTACTAGTTGAAGCAATATTAACACTAATATTTTTTAAGTTCTCAGTATAGTGTCTGGAGCACCATTAATAAAGGTTAGTAAAAAAAAATAATAATAATAATAATAAAAAGGTTAGTAATTGATGCTTTCACTTTGGCCCTCAAGGAGAAAGCACCTTTTCCCAAAGGAATGCTGCTGAGTTCAGCCATGGCAGCATGAGCTGTCAGTCATGGATAAGAGGGGGCACAGTTTATTGACAATTTCCAACCGTATTCTGTCTAAGGGCTAGAGCGATAGCACAGCAGTAGGGTGTTTGCCTTGTGTGCAGCCAGTTCAGATCAGTTGGGTTTGATTCCTCCGCCCCTCTCGGGGAGTCTGGCAAGCTGCCATGAGTATCTCACCAGCATGGAAAAGCCTGGCAGGCTCCCCGTGACGTATTCCATATGCCAAACGCAGTAACAAGAAGTCTCACAATGGAGATGTTACTGGGCGCGCTCGAGCAAATCGATGAACGACGGGAGGACAGTGCAGTGCAGTGCCATTCTGTCTAAAGAACTGGCTTTCATAAAAGCTTTCCTTCTGAAAAATCTGAATCAACAGCTATAGTTCAAGGCCTAGGAATCTATTTTTTTTAATATTTGGGGCGAGGGGCTACCCCAGCTGTGCTCAGGCTGACTCTTGGCTCAAGGTTCACACCTGGCAAAATTTTCAGGGGCCACATTCAGTGCCAGGGATCAAACCTGGGTGGCTGTGTAAAAGACACTTGCCCTACCTCACTAAGTAGGAGCTCCTAAAATCTGTATTTGTTTAAAGTATGGGCCATTCCTGGTGATAACTGGTCAAGTGGGCCTGGCAGTTCAGGGCTTATTTGGGGCCACCAAGACCACATATAGTGGTCCAAGGGGAGAAGGAAGATACATGGTACAGGGGATCAAACTCCAGACAAGCTATTGAAGCTATTTTTAAGCTCCCCAGAAGTCAGGGTTTGTTTTATTTTCTTTTTGGTTTTGGGACCACAGCTGGCAGTGTTTACTCCTTGCTCTGTGCTCAGGGATTATTTCTGGCAGGGCTGGGTTTTGAATGGAAGTTTGGCTATTGATAAGGCAAGCATCTTAACCATTTTATTGTCACTCCGACCTCACAAAAATATGTATTTTAAACAAATAGCCCAGAGAATTATGATAAGCAGAAGAGGTTAAGAAATTATGATCATTGGGATGGAGCAATAGCACAGCAGGTAGGGCGTTTGCTTTACACATGGCCGACCTGGGTTTGATTCCCAGCATTCCATATGGTCCCCTGAGCACCACCAGGAGTAATTCCTGAGATCATGAACCAGGAGTAACCCCTGTGCATCGCCAGGTGAGACCCAAAAAGAGAAAAAAAAATTATGATCATAGAAAATACCTCCCACACAGGGAATTCATCCATGTATGAGAGAGGTGGTGGAGGGAGGTCTCCTGGAGCAATGTGTTGTTAGTCGGGCTCCTTAAGGAGACCCCAGCTCAAGTTCCACTGTAAATACAGAAATACAGAAGTTCAAGCCTCAGTTCCACTGTAAATACAGAAGTTCTTCCTTAGAGTCCCTGGAGATCCCTCTTTCTCCGAAAAATCTTTGGAGTTCTACTAAAATCTCCTGGGTCTTGAGTCCTTGGGAAATGTCAGTCTAGAGTAAAGAAATACTATTGCAAAGGGTAATAAAAAGCTTTTGAGGGGATAAAAGGCAAACACCAGACTCCTTTTCCTTCCGGGTCTGCCTGGGGACTCTGCCTTCCAGGGCGAGATCTGAACTTCATCCACTCCCAATACCCCAATTTGTTACCAACTTACACAGTGACTTCTTTCTTCCACTTCAACGTTTGTCACTCCTATAAAGCCCCATAAGGGAGGTCCTAGACCCACACCTCTCTTCAGAGAGGTCACTGTCACTGTCAACTGTCCTCCTGTTGTTCATTGATTTGCTCAAGCAGGCCCCGTAACGTCTCCATTGGAGGCTTTGTTGTTACTGTGTTTGGCATGTGGAATACGTCTTGGGGAGCTTGCCAGGCTCTGCCGTGAGGGCGAGATACTCTCGGTAGCTTGCCGGGCTCTCCGAGAGGGGTGAAGGAATCGAACTCAGGTTGGCCATGTTGGCTGCGTGCAAGGCAAACGCCCTACCGCTGTGCTAGAGATGTTCCATATTAAGTATCCAGCAGAAGGCCAAAAGTTTTGATATCAACATGAACGTCTGTCAACCTGGAACCCTTAAGGCTTCTTTCCACTTCCCAAATCCAGGTTTTCTCCACTTGCGTGCAGCCTGCTGTTTCTGTACCCAGACTATTCATCTACATTTACTTGTATCTGCTCTGCAAATTTTCTTAGGTGATTCTCATTTATGGCAATCTTATTTCACCAGAGTGGGCTCTGAGTTCATGAGAGCAGAGCTCAGAGGTTATGTTTTACATAAGAATGTTTTACATTCTGCTAAGTTTTGCCCCCAAATAAATTTTGTTCAACTCAGTAGGTGTGATAATTGCCCCAGTAATTTATAGTTTGTAGTAATTGTTCTACTTAAAGCTAGAAGAAGAAGAACTCTGGGGCCAGAGCACCCTTCTACCTACATTAAAAGCAATGTTTTCAGACCTCCCTGGAGATGAAACTTCTGAAAAGTTTGATAATTTTCTAAATAAAATTCCCAGGCCTCATACTTAAACTAAAATCATGATTTTGGTATTGGTACTTGGGATATTCTCAGGCAGGCAGTCCAACACTTTTCAGTATTGAACATATTTGTAATGAGAATGTCCAGGAAAGGATGTTTAGAGGTTACCTGTGAATTGAAGTTATAGAGTCCGACAGAGATCCTCTGATAACTGTGACTGACTATTCAAGAAAAGTCTTTTTCGGCCTCCCAAGCAGTGGCCATTTTTGCCTCTTGGAGAGCCCGGCAAGCTACCAAGAGTATCCTGCCCACACAGGCAGAGCTTGGCAAGCTCCCCGTGGCGTATTTGATATGCCAAACACAGTAATGATAACAGGTCTCATTCCCCTGCCCCTGAAAGAGCCTCCAATCGTTGGGAAAGATGAATAAGGAGTGGATGCTAAAATCTCAGGGCTGGGACAAATAGAGATGTTACTGGCACCCACTGGAGTAAATCGATGAACAACGAGATGACAGTGACATTATCTCGGTACCATGCAAATGTCTCAATGGCATCAGGGAAACTTGGAGTCTGAACTTTCAGGAGACCCATGAACCTACGAAAAATAAAGTAGAAAGAGCTTACAACTGCGGTTCATAGGTCTGACAGCATGGGGGCCTAGGGTTAGTCAGGCAGGAAGCCTCAGATTGGAGAGAAAATCACAATGTATGAGGAAGAGTTTTGGCAGTGAGAAGGGAAAAGACCAGGAGGCAAAGAGGGAAGGTGTGGGAGGAGCCTTTTGGAGTGCCTGAGGCTTTAGGGAAGTGGAGGCTGTGGTAGAGAAACAAATTGAATCACCCAGTAGAGCGGAACTCTTCTGCAAAGGTTGAACAGGGAGAATGGCAAATAGAAAGTAAACCAGAACGGTTGGCAGTGTAGTCGGCATGAGCCAGAAAGGTTGAGAACAGTTGGCAATAGGGCAGAACATCTAATTAAAAATGAGAACTTCTCTGGAACTTAAAGATACACTGTGAGGTAGCAGCAAGAATCCAAAGATAGCATTACAGGGGAACTGACCCACTCAGTTAAATTGGGGTGGAGGGGGGTCAGGGCGAGGAGTTGGGTCCATTGAGGGTGACAGGCATCTTGGTGATGGGTGTGGTGTTGGGATTATGGCCGTGAGAAACCATTATTAATAGTATTGGAAACCAAAAATAAAAATAATAAGCAAATAAAAATGAGGGTTTTTTTTTCCTCATGCTTCTCTTTTCTCCACGTCCCCTCTCATTCCAGAGAATACCCTAGAAAATCTGTACTTCTCTTAGTGGATCACAGCAAGAAATTGGAGTGTGACAGAACTAATTTCTACTCATCATCCTTCCCACTGTAATGAATGGTGCTGTTTTAGGCTTAAGCTGAACTTCCTAGGGCCAACCTTCACGTTCTTCTCTCTCCCCCTCCACCGCTTAGTCCTTCACAGCCCTCTTTAAAACA